CTGAGACGTTGCAGCTGATAGGAGTCATAAAACAGAACAGGGGGACGTTAGATGACCTGACACCCCTCTAGATAAATGTGTTCAATGAGTGAAGGAAAATATGAGTGAGCACCAAGCAACAACCCTAGGTTCTCCCCTGAGAACCAGAACAAACATTTTATGTTTAACCCTGTATATTTACTCATAAACACAGAATCATGCACAAAAAAACAACTCGCTAGAAAACAGCTGGGATGGGGGGGGGTGCTTTGGGTCAAACACATGAGACTGGTGCAGGGTTCAGTGGAGCCGGTGATGTTTTAGGTAAATACTCAATGCTGGAATCGATCCAAGGCCCACCAGAGTCCAGAAACCAGATCTTATTGTCTCATTCTCAGTTCACTGGAGTTCAGAATTTCCCTTCCTCCTCACAACCTTCACACTGCTCCCACACAGATTATGGGAGGGACTCAAGCCCTTGTTGACGTATCCTCCCGGTGAGTTTTACGTATACGTACCAACCGAAGGCCAGCAGCTGGGATCCAAAAAAATATAAACACACTTGTTTTGGTTACAAGCAGCCTTGAATTTCATTGCTACTTTACAGTCTTTAGTGCATCTCTGAAAATGGTGAAAAAAAATACCAAATGTCCCGAATTCCGTGTCTTCTCGCCTCTCTCCGTCTGAAGCGTCACCCAGGTGTAATCCTTATATCCCAGAGGCATGCTGCTGGGCAGCCATTCTTATCAGAATCACATCCAGTTTGTGACTTATCTCCCCCAGCATCTGAGTTTGTGTTTCCAGAGCAGCAGATTCCATCCATGGTTCCTGACAGCTTCTCACAGGCCTGGACTGCTGTCCGGATTACTTTCATTTTCTGATAAATCAGAACTCCTCCACAGCCGATCAGCAGAAATCCAGCTATCACACGTGTGTATGTATAATGTATCTACCAAATATATACAAATCTTCCACGTCTTCAATGGAAAGTGGTGCCAAACAGATCAGGTTCCAGCCCCAGGAACCACTGACCCAACCAGCAGCAACCATTCCACTGGAACAGCTTCGTTCCCCTTGTTCCAAATCTCAATGTGGAAAAAATAGTGTCGATTGTGTTCAGAGACCAGTTGATCAAATCCATAGTTCCTTTTTGTTTTGGATGATAGATAGAGGAAAGGCTTGAAAAAGCTGTGAAGCAGGAAGGAGGAGCAGGTTCAGGAGAGACAGCAAAAAGTGTCGGACTCCTCTGAAGGCCAAGTGAAGAAGCAGGTGTGGTATTACAGTGAAAAAGATAAATAATTATATCACTCCCTGCTATCAACTAGGATACTCAAAGATCCTTACAACCTGTGCCCTCATTTAGCCATCAACACATTTATTCACACACTCTACAGAGCTAACATGACTAGGGCTGCAGCTAATGATTATTTTAATAATGCATTAATCTGTCCATTATTTTTTTCAATTAATCGATTAATCGGCCAAATCATTAAAACGCTTAATTACATGAATATGAGTAGATATAAATTAATGTCTTTCCTGTATAAATTAGGGATGCAAATTATTGATTAATGAATTAATCTGAGGTTGATTTATCTTATAACTGACTAATAATTAATTTATAAGCAGTCATTTTCTTAAAAACTGAGTTTTCTCTTGAATCACGAGGGTCTTTTCATAACATGAAGGATTTTTTTAATCTCCTGAATTAAAACATAAAGCACATCATAAATATTAATTAATTTTACCACCAGCTGTATTTAAAACTGACTGAAAAAAATGTATATTTCTCCTACATGAAACATAACAGAAATTGAATAGGTTGCTGAATGAGGAAAATAGATTAAAAGAATAAAATATGATTTTTAGATGTAAAACTATTATTAATTTATTATAATTAGAATTTATTTWCATTTAACATTTATAATTTTCTCTAATTCTTTACTTTTTGCTTCCTTGTAGTTGGTTCTGTCTGACTAAAACAGTGTTCGACCCAGTAAACAGTTCTGAAGCAGCCCCCCTCTCAGACTTGCTGCTTGCGTCTTTTTTTATTTTGCTGCTCAACAAATAAATTAGAGCCTCGGTCCTAAAAAACTGGAGGGTTTTTATACTCTTGTGCTTTAAATCACATTCATACATGGAGGCAGTGAGGGTTTAGTGTCTTGCCCAGAGACACTTGGACAATGAATAGGGGGGAATCAAACCGCTAACTCCCTGATTAGGTGACGACTCCCTTAACCACTCATCCACAGCCTCCCCAAAAGAAAAGAGGAACAAGCAGTGTTTTTATAACTAACATGACAGAGCTGTGAATATTAACTCATACTACAAACCAGAAAATATTAAAGTATTTGTRCACGTGTATTGTTTGAAGTATTTGTACATGTGTATAGTTTGAAGTGGGTTCTGTGTGGCAGATAAAAAATAAGTTTATATGAGATCGGTCTCTGTGTGACTCCATGTTTCTGCAGATTTAGTTCTGAAGTTAAATAATAAAATCTGTATAGTTTAAACCAAATATTTCTGTCTTTCATTTGATCAAGTTGATCTGAAATGTTGCAGATTGATGCTCTAACTGAACCCTGCACATTGTTAGACAGATCACAATCATTTCTTCTGTTTCTCTATAAACGCCTCCTTCTGAATCTCACCAAAGTCTGCGATCTTGGCGTTCTTGTTGGCATCGAGCAGGACGTTCTCAGGTTTCAGGTCTCTGTGGACCACCATGTGTCTGTGACAGTAGTCCACAGCTGAGATGATCTGCTGGAAGAGCCGGCGAGCCTCTGCATCGTCCACCTAAACAGCAAATAAAACTACTTTCACTGATATTTATCTTTAGTAAAATGTTGTGGTGAAGGCAGGAACTTACGTAATACTGTAAGTAACAAAACTATATAAATGCATAACGTCTCAGCCGGTTATTATATGTGCAATAATTAATAAGACAAATAAAATCTTTTTAMGTAAAATAGACTAGAAATGATCAAATGTTAAAGATGTAAAGTTGTGCGAGCTGACTTCTGTCCACTAGGGGGCAGTGCAGCAAATATGAATAATGTGAATATTTTTACCTTCATCCTCGGACACTGTGAAACATTTAAATACTAGGGCTGTGAATTAAATTTTTTAATCACAATTAAAATGTACAACCACTTTACTCTGTCTGAATCTGTAGGTTTGTATATTACAATGGACTCAGTGCATCATGCC